AACTATACTTTAATATTAAATAATCTAATTCTTAGTGACAAAATTTTATTTTAGTATTAAATTTAATGATATTTAATATATAAATAATCTAATGTATATTTTACTAAATAATATTTTAGAGACCAAGTTTAGATAATAGATGCAAAAAGTAGATGTACATAAAAGGTAATAAAATGCAAATGATCATTAGCTATTAGGACCCAATAGTGAAGTATTATGTTGTGACTTTAGTACACATAACTCAAAATAATAATAATAATTAGAATATTCTGAATTCTTAGGCCAGAGTATATTTTTTGAAATCCAATTGCTGATTATGAAGTTTTTTTTATTTATGTTTATATGTATGCATGTATATACAACATAAACTTACATGGGCCGTACTACAAAATGGATTGAGTATATCTATTGAGAGAACATCAACAGTATTATCTTCCAAACTGACGTACAATCTTCTATTACGTTGATAATTTTATCACTGAGGACATAGACTTATGTGGAAAGTAGTCCAAAAATTATTAGGTATTACTGTTCTATCTACTTGCAGAGCAACACTACTAATACCTTACGGATCAACACAAATTCGGCTTTGTACACTTTAGTATATTTTGATAGGTAGGCAAACATAGACTTACATGGAAAGTACAACATAAAATGTTGAAAATTACTATACTATCGCTTAAGATACCATCTGTCTATTACATTGAAAGCACTTCATCACTTCTTATTTAAACTATGACTAACATAATTTTTGATGACGAAGCGAACGCTAAGTTTCATGGTAAGTACTAGAGAAAAGATTGTAAAGTAATGTTTTATTTCTTGGAAAAGCCTCTATAATATGATACTGTGGTCTCTGATAAAATCCACTATTGTATCCAAAGCCCTTCATTTTTGATAACAACAGGGACATAGACTTACGTGAGAAGTACTATAAAAAAGTCTAGAAAATGCTATTGTATTTGTTTGGAATGCATGCATAAATTTAACCTGAGACCCAACATAAAGTCCTTTGCTGTATCGAAAGCACTTAATCACTGCCTATACGAACTATGACTTATGTATCTTCTGATGACAGGAATATTATGTCTTACTTGTCAAAAAGTTAAAGTTTCACGAATTTCCGTGGTGTTTTAATTATTGTACAATTGAAAAGAAATTCTATAGTAAAAAGTTATTCATTTTATATAATTTTTATTGTACACAAAATAAATGAAGTTAATTATGTTAATTTATGTTTCATAAGAAAAAATTCATGAACGTACAAAAATATGCAAAAAGTGAAAACGTAGCAAGGAAAGATCCTGCAACTTCAAAACGATATTTTAATCGCATTTCTTTTGTTTCTGTTGAAATTTTTTAATTATATTATGTAAAACTTTTTAAGGAGTATAAAAAACAAAAAAAAACTGGAATTTCCTTGATAGTATATGGCAAATTTATTGCGAAGGCCAGTTGAAGCGCCAAAGTACAAAATCCAAAAAAATTATTTTCACTTCGTTATGTGTAAGCAAAATCAGGCACAAGAAAGATGCAAGGGCAAATCACACGAACCAACCAGAGATACAAGATACAATAAAGAATATGAAAACTTTCGATTTTTAAATAAAATTAAAAAACAAAAAATGTAAATATAAAAATGTTAAATGTAAGTACAAGAAATGTGAAATGAGATATGAGATATGAAAAGATTTATCGCCGCACGTTCAATGAAAGGGAAAAGATGCGCCACTATCAAAGTCAAGAAAATAAATACAGCGGAAAAATAAATGAACTTGAGAGCATGCCACGTTCATACACCAACTCAGTTACAGATACAAACAGATACAGAGATATCTGTATATATGTACAAACATATCTATACACTTGCAGATACAGGTTGCAACATGTGAATGCAGAATACGCGAAATGACAGCCATAAACTGACATTGACAGTTCGAGCGACGTACGTGGTTGCAATTGCAGAGATGCACTTCTCAACTTCTGACAGAAGAAATGCTTAAGATACTCATGCTCGTAATCAAATGAAGAGCACGGCGTTTACTATATTCAAGTTGAAAACGAGGAATATTAAATGAAAATTAAAAACTGCAATGA